CGCGTTTTGACAAATGTATGAGCTTTTTAATTTCTAGTGATTTTTGGGTGCTTTGGCATCCAGTCTGTGCTTATCTGTATGCTAGTCACTCTTGAGTTCATCAAACCACAAAGTTCGGCCTGGCTGTTTTTAAAAATATTAGTCTGGGCATACTTAATAATATCTCAAAGTTATTTCGGAAATAACTAATTTTCATATGAACAGTACTTTTTCCTTTCATGAAATTTAATGTTCATTGTTTCAAAAGGTTTTTTTTCTTCCAGTTTAATCTGAAAGAAACTTCTGTTTATGATGCACACATCATAAAGAGTTTTCATTGTAGTTTGTTTCTTTCTATGGAAGTTTCCCACATTTTTTATTTAATGACAGAAGTAGAAAGCGAAAAACTTGTATCTACTGTAGTCTTCTATCAAAGTTAAACTGAGAGCAATCAGAATTTTATGTTTTCCAGAAATTTCATCATTCTTATTTTAACCCGTTTTTCTATTATTTTTTCGTAATTTTCGTCGTAATAATTGGAAAAAGTCGATGACTCGAAATATCTGAGGTATCCCCATATTTGTACATATTTATATAAGGGAAAAACATATGTGTGAAACGATTCATTAATTAACTGAACTAATAGCTGTAGTACAAATATTAGCAGAACTTCGAAGATTCTCAAAAAAATATTATCAATGCCTCACAAAGCATTTACCTTATTGTGTTTCATTACATCCATTAGCTCAAACAAGTAAATTTCTATAATACAAATGATTTTTTAGTATTATTCAAATAATGATTTTTGTTATTCAAGTCAAGCAGCGTATCTGATGAAGTTTCGACATTTTCAGTAATTTTCTCGGCTACGGAATAGTAACATTCATTGAGACAATTGGAACGTTTACTACATGAGATAGCTTTCTTTAATTTATGTTGAGATACCCTGCCCAAACCACAATTCCTGTAAGTAGAAGTTTACAGCGAAGCATCTCTAATTTCTATACACATAATAATAATACACATGATACACATAATAATAAATGATTTGCTTCCCTAGAATGAGAATTCAAAATATTTTTCCTCTATGATGTCATCATACTTATTTACCGGGGATCTCGGAAACCGTAAGAGATACAAGGTCGATTAAACCAAGCCAAAGTTACGTAATTTGGTACTCTTCGAAGTGAGGTTTTGAAATCTGAAAAATTCTGAATACTACCGGAGAAATCTTGAAGAAACCGAAAATGAGCGATCGTTTTGATTTTTTCTGGCGTTATTTGAAGTACTATGAAAAAACAAAAGACACTTCCTCAAAGCAACTTATTTCGTTCTACAACATATAGCGCTAAGATTATGAATCCGAAATTTCGTTCTTCAGAAACCATAATCAGCTTTGTATTTATATGAAATACCCTGTATTCAATAGATCTGTTCAAAACGAAATTCAATGATATACATCACAACCGATTATTTGAAAATGGTGGTTGGTCAAAAATAACGATCTTAATTTTTTTTTTCATTCAAACAGTTCGCCATGCCAAAGCGACATTCGCCTGTAACTGACTGAAGTGAAAGGCAAGAAAATAATAAAATCTAATTAAAGCGTCATTTCTTACTGCAACTTTTCATTTCTAACACTCATTTATAAAAGATGTTCAAATTGTAAACCTTCTGCTTCGATGTATTTTACCCTAAGCCAACCTAATTTTAATATGGAACGTTGAATGAACCTGGCGGGAATTGGCCCAATTTCTCTAATTAAATTAAGCTTTGATTTCATCTGGTATCTCGCGGTATAAACGATTTTTGAGGTATCCCCATAGAAAATTATCTAGAGGTTTTAGGTCTAGACTTCTAGCAGCACATTGCACAGGTTCTCGTTCTCCAATCCACTCATTTGGGAACATTGCATTCAAACTAGTGACCAATCTTCCATTATGGGAAGGGGCGCCATCTTTTTGCCACCACAACTGCCTTATAATATTAAGAGGCTCATCTTCGAATTGATCTAGTATGTTGTTTGATACTAAAACTATATATCTTTCAGATGTTAAACTATCCTCGTATTGCACCAAATTTCCACCCACACATTAAAAGAAGTTCCCCGTGGCCTGACTTCTGCATGTTGTCCTGGGTTTTCTACCACCAAATAGTGGGCAGTGTGCCTATTGAAGTACCATCAGCATAAAAACTGCATCAGTCCATTTTACTTTAAGTAAAAATTGATCTTCTTCATTAATTTTATTAGAAAGCAAGTAACAAAATTTCAGTCGTCTAGTATCATCACCCGGTCTAAGTTTTTGACTTGAGTGACATCAAATTTAAAGTTTACCATACTATCAATCCGGGCAGTTCCATTTCATTTTCAAAATACCCAGTTGATCCTCGAGGTAAATTATTCACATTAAATAGCGAAATTAATATACTGTTATATTGTAATATTTCAAAACTTACAGAATTTTAAATATTTTGTTCTTCCTCTGCATTCATTCGCTGTCCATACTTTTTTCTGGGCTTATCAAAATTTACAAATTCCAACACATTCTTATAAAGTTTGGCAAAGTAATTTTCATGCGGCATTTTTTTATAGAATTTGAAAACGGAAACTACAACTGATATTGACGATTTAGGTAAACAATGACATTTTTTATTTCGGCACGTAGCCACCTTTCATTTTAGTCAATTCCCGGCCAATGCCATTTTGACATAGCCAATTGTTTAAATGAAAAAAATTTTGGGAAAGAAAGTTTTTGGCTTTCTACTACTCCATCTTGAAATAAAAAAATGTGGGAATCTTCCAAAGAAAGGAAGAAAGTCATCAATTTGACAACAAGTAACTCTATACATGGATGTGTAGATCATGCAAAGAAGCAACTTTCAGACACAAACTGGAAGAAACCCCTCCTGAAACAAATACTTTCATATAAACATTGAATTACACGAAAGAAAAAAATTCTTTGGAAACAAATACTTCTATATGAACACTGAATTATACAGAAGATACTTTTCTCTACTCAGTTTGTATTTCAAACATTCGTTGTGGAATAAAAATCAGATATCATTCACATGAGTTCTACTTTGAATAATAAATGGTAACAAATTGCACTTACATGGAACCTCATCCTCACTGGTATACATCGATGTTTCGCCATAAGACACTTGCCTTAAGGCTCTTCAGTACCAAATTGGATGACATTATAGAAAATACACACAATTCATTCATGAATTATGATTTTTAATGTCACGGAATAAGTTTGATCTACTTATGTCATCGATGACATCGTAATGACATTCATTCACCTGTTTGATTAAATCCCAGCCAAGAGGAATCTTATTTGAATTGAAGGGGTTATATTTTAGGAGTGATTAATTGGGTTGTTATTTCTGGACGACTTTTTCTTCCAATTTGTATCTGAAAGTAACATATAAACATGATCTACACATCTTCGTAAAGAGTTTATTTTGAACTCGATTGCTTTTCTTTTTTTCTTCAGAAGTTTTTGTATGAAGATGAAGAAGTAAAAAGCCAAAAAGCTTCTCATAGAATTAAAGTTCTAGCTAAACAACGAAAACTAAAATAACTCAAAATTGCTATCAAAGTTTTTCAGTTAATTGTACCAAATCATTCGCAACATCACATACTGATATTCGATATGCTTCATCTATGCTCATATTATCAGCTTCAATAAAAACATACCCGTTGAAGGTCGACTCATCCTTTCTTGACAATTTCTCAAGAGACTTTTTCATGCAAAACACATACCATACTTAACTATCCTTATTTTTTTCCGTAATTTTGTCTTCCCAGCATCCTAAAGCTGATGCTGTTTTTTTTTATTCTAGTTGTTGGTTTCGGTATCTTCTCCAGGTATTTAACCTCCCCGGAAAGTTGTATTTCTTCATCTCGGAGTTTTAGACGTTATATCAATCAAAATCTGCTGCGTACATTATGATCAATATAAGATTCTTTACCAACGGGGACAACCGCCTTCTTGAGATATCCCTTTATTACCTGTACCGTTAGTATAGTCTCATAATGCTTTGAATGAGAAATAAAACGATACACATATCCGATTTCGGAGAACAGAAAAGTCTGGTGTTGCTCACCACGCCTTGAAAAACGGCTATACAATAAATATTCTTTGTTTAAAATTGTTGAAACAAATAAAAATAGACTTTTCAGCGTTTTCGAAAGTCTAGAAATATCAATGTGTGGCAAAGATCCCATTCCTAAAGCCCACGTTTACTTTCATATACTATATTTTGCAGGAATTTTTACGAATAATTTCAATGAATCATTGATAATATGATCGAAAGTGAAAAAGTTATATACAAATAAGTGAAGTTAGAGAAATTATTTAGTTTATCTCCTAATGATGCAAAGGCGTCAAGAAGAATATAGCAGTTCTGGTATGTGGAAACAGTATTTTGTATATTTTTAGGAGTTTTGATCTAAATCTTATGAAATTATATTCTTGAAGTACATTCCTAACCTCAAACAACATTAAAACATTCATATTTGATCTATATGAATATAATCATATATCCAGTTGTTTTCTATTTGAGTTTCTGAATTGAAGGGGTTATATTTTTAGAAGTGATTAATTTTTGGGAAAGAAAGTTTTTGGCTTTCTACTACTCCATTTTGATACAAAAAAATGTGGGAATCTTCCAAAGAAAGGAAGTAATCAATTTGAAAATAAGTAACTCTATACATGGATGTGTAGATCATGCAAAGAAGCAACTTTCAGACACAAACTGGAAGAAAGCCCTCCTGAAACAGCTACTTTCATATAAACATTGAATTACACGAAAGAAAAAAATTCTTTAGAAACAAATACTTTTATATGAACACTGAATTATACATTCGATTAGATTTTCTCATTTACTGACTTCTAGAATCGCCTTGGATGGCTAAGGGTTAACGAATGAAAAATAAAAAAAGCAATATAAAAGAGTTGATTTCTGTATCCTCATTTGATAAAAAGAGATCAAAAAAGTATGACATGTAAACTTACCGTCATCCGTGGCCATAATCGTTTGAATACTCTGCTGAAGCTGTTTCAAGCAAGGTTTGACACTTTTCACCTGTCCTGCCATAAGATAATGACACACCTAAAAGTAAGCTAGTACATTGCTGGCAGTATTATTGAATGTTTCAAGTACCTGTAAAACCAAAAAATACACTTTTAGATATTCTTTCTGATAAACTGCACCAGTCCACGTTTCGATTACGTGTCCAGCTTGATTCAATACAGGTTGGACTTCTTGCAACTTTTTGTCGATTAAGAGGAGCTAAAAAAACATACATTTCAGTTCTTTAAACTTAGCACATCAAATATATAATTGCCAAAAGTCACTTTTTGGTTTATTGAGAACTTCTATTTATCCCATTATGAATACTTACTAACAGCAGGATTCAAAATACTGCTTATACATCGCGAAACGCGTGTCGCGGTTTTTTGAACCTTTTATATCGAAAATCAAAATAAATCTTATTAGTAAATATCAATGGCAAGATTTTGAATTCAGCTTGGGAAAGCTGTCAAATAGTGAAACACGTGTCGCTGTTTTGTAAACTTTTTAAAGTAAAAATCAAAATAAATCTTATTAGTGAGTTTTGATATGGATTTTCATCTGGTATTGGCCAGTTCCATTTAACTACCCCATTATAATTTTGCATCCTATTTAATTTTCTGAATCAGATGCTGTATTGAAAGTAAATTTTCAAGTGTCATTTTTTTTTGTTAATTTTATTTTTATACTTTCAATTAAAACTGACTGAAAACTGGTAGAGATAACAAACTTAAATTTTAAGTCAACTGTAATGCTACCAAAAGTTGTCCACAAGGGTATTCTATTCATGAATTGTTATAGAAAAATTTGGATTTTGTTATTTGTTCCAGTTGACACAATGTTGATAAATATTCTCAGTATGGAATTCTGGATAGTTTTAATTAAAATTTATTTTTGTAACACACTGAGAAAAATGATTGTAACAGCTATTATTTCTTCGCCATTTTCGTGATTTGCATTTTCAGAACTTCAAAGTACAAGCCACTTTCGGAAAAGCCGAAAATGAAAAAAAAATACAATGATGACAAAATGTTACTGTTTGCAAGTGATCAACGATTCAAGTAAAAACAAGAAAATAAAGGAAAAACAGAAGTATGACTTGAATCACTAACATGGTGACACTTTCTGTTCATGTGCGAAGAGGAATAAAAGAATGAAATCCAATTAAAACCTTTGACCAATTTAATGAATCATATCAGAAGGTTTCATTGTAGCATATAGAAAGAAAAAAACACAGTTGTTACGTGATGGAATAACAAATGCAGAAATCATATCCATTGAAATGGTTTCAAAAAATTAAGAGAAAAGTCAACAAAATAATACATATATTTCAAACATCTGAAAGTCAAATTTAAAAAGATCTCATAGAAAAAGTAACCTCCAGCAAAAGCAAGATTCTTGCCGCAAGAGAGCACTGAAGGGCGTGAGGTCAGTTTTCCTGGTTCTTTCGTTATTTACATGCCAATAAAACAAAGAGTTAAGTAATATTTTAAAGAAGGGAGTTTTAATACCAGTGATACTAGGGTAGAATGTATTAAGCAGTAATGTGACAAGTATTGCAGCCTACCCACAGCTGATTTCTTATGTGTCCTAACAGAAATGGTTGTGAATATTATAGGTGTTACCATTTTTTTAATATACGAGAACTTGAACTGAAAAATGTTGAAAATATTAACAACACCAGCACTTACATATTAGGATGAGCTATTCAAATAAGTATATATTAAAAAAATGTCCTAACAGAAATGGTTGTGAATATTATAGGTGTTACCATTTTTTTAATATACGAGAACTTGAACTGAAAAATGTTGAAAATATTAACAACACCAGCACTTACATATTAGGATGAGCTATTCAAATAAGTATATATTAAAAAAAAATGAAAAAAATAACATGTAAACAATAAAAATTTAGAGAAAATAAGAATACATGATGAAAACAGGTGCAGAAAAAAAAAAGAATTATTATTTTGAATCAAACTACTTCATGGCGTTTCGATTGTCAGTATCCAAAATCGCCATTGGTTGATAACTGGTTTGTCCTGATTTTTATTGTTTACCCATTATTGACCCAAACTAATTTTTGGGTCCATTCAATATTTCTTTTCATTTCAGGTCACAACTCGTACTCATTCATAGTAAAATGTTTCTTGCACCTGATAAGGTATTTGACAAGCATTTATTTATCGTTTGGAATTCTGTGGTCGGAGCTACTCCCGGACAAAAGACGTTCTGAGCAGTTGGGGGAATGTTATTAACACATAATTTATATGCCAAAACCTCACAAAACGAACTTAAAATTTCTAAAAAAAAAAGACAAAATCAAACATCCATTTCTTAGGCATTGAATGTTAAACTGTCGTCTTGAACTCTCGCCCGGTAGTGCCCTCTAACGGCCTGGCCGGTTTTGCTTCTCATTGGTCTTCATCATCGACCAAATTTGAAATGAGGTAAAATAGTCAGTAACAGTAACAGAAAAAGAATATTTACAACTTCAAAAAGAATTGAAAGGAATAAAATTGTAAAATTTCACAAGTCAATACAAAATAATCAGGTTTAATTTTTTTGGGTGTGTGCCAGGCATACCTGCAAAAACATAATTTATCAAGTTCTCAAAGCTGCCTGTCACATTTGCGAAAAGCTTTATTCCAAGGAGAGCTATGTAGCCATTGCGTTTTTGGTTGTTGGAATGAGCTGGAATTCTAAGATATTATACTATCAAACGATGTATCACGTGGTATGTTGCCATTTAAAAAAGTTGAGGGGTAGCTGGGGCCGTGAAGGGGAGCTACAAATTTTGATATTTCCATCCGTTTCGTAAATATTCGGAGTTTATTTCCTATGAATCTCAACGACACCATTTAGAATTGTACATTTGAAATTGTCTAAAGTTTTAAGATATTTTACTTAATGACGTTTTTCAAATGAAGTATCACACAGGTATTTTGCGATTTAAAAACGTTGAGGGGGAAGCTGCGGCGGAGCAATGTCACGTGAGTGTTGATAAAGATGTTGATCACTAACCTGAAAAGCCTGTATATTTGAAACACAGTATCGACAGTATTTAACAAAATAAGTGAATTTTGATTATGCTTATATTTTTTTATTGAAAATTTTCATTTAATTTGAAAAAGGGATAATTGAAGGCACTATATAACTGCAAAACAAACTCACCATTCCCTTACTTAATAAAAACAAAACTCGGGTATAAGAGGCATTAGATATATATGCATAATCTACTCCAACTCCTAATAAACTGCTAGCCAGCGTATAATCCTTTTCAGTTGCATGAATTTGCTAAAATTAATGGGTTCAGGAACTGATATTCAAAAAACTAAAATACTTACTGCCAACTGAAAAATCAGTCTACAATGCCAATAAACATTATGTTGTGACAACTCAATGGCCTTACGCAGTATGGGCTTCGACAAAGAGATTTGATTCTGTTGTTCATATAATTCAGCTAAAACGCTGGCAGCTTCAAACTTGACGTCATCAAAAGAGTTAATCACTTGAGATAGCAGCCACTAAAAGAATGTCACTTGAATTTAATTGTTCAAATTACCTAGACATACAGACTTGATAAGATTATATTCTAAGAGTAGTATTTCTGAGTAGAGAGATGGAACTGTCACCTCTGGCATAGAATTCCAAAACAAGTACTGCTCCCGAATACCAGAACTGCATCACTTTTCTTGACGCACGTTTCACCAATCAAGCTGTCGTCTTGGAGATGAGGAGTTTAAAAAATATGTTTAGAATATGTTTTTTTCGTTAACCAGCTATCGCGACCCCTACGAATGACAACCCTCAGAAGAACGAACGACAACCCAACGAGGTCTTACCTTTCAACGTGTGATTCCTGATAAGAATGTTGCAGTTCTGGTTTGAGAGCAGTGCTTGTTTTGGTATCATTACCTATTGCATTATTATTATTATAATAGATTATATAACCCAACGCTAAAAGATCCAGAGTATTTTAAACAGTAACAATATATAAAAAATACCATGAAATTCAATAATGACAAACGATTACAACTAAATTTGCCAATATCATAAGTGATCATTCGTTAGACCTGTTGGACAAGTTTTGAATAACTATTTTAAAAAATAATGAAAGTTAAACACTCCCATTCAAATTGTGATACGCCTTTTAAATTCATTGGATCAATCCTTTCTTCTGCGGGATTATTCTTCTTTTTTGCAACTCTGTAGAACCCGTTGTTTAGACTACATAGGGTTGGATGCCATGACTATATAGGATTAGAAGATTTTAATTATACTGATGTAGCATGTAGCCCGATTACAGCTATAGCATTTTAGCTAGAATAACCCCACCAATTGAAGGCCATAGCAGAGCCTTTCATTTGAGAGATTTAACCTGAATGGGAAAGTAAGCAGAGTGCTTTCAACACTTGTCACAGAATGAGTCACGCCTAGGTTCGCAAGGAATTTATTTTGAGATACAGGTTATTACAGATGTATTTTTATATATGTTTACTTGAGATTTTTTCAATTCAACGAAATCTCTGCGTAGTCATAACGCTGGATGTGAAAAATGCTTTTAACAGTGTGCAACATGGCAATTCATATTGGAGACCCTTAGAAATAGAGAAGTGGAGGAAAACCTAATTTATATGATAGCCTCATATCTAGAAATTTTACTGGAAGCCATTGATGACACAAAAACTATCAGTATAAATAGCGGTGTCCCACAGGGATCAGTCCTAGGACCTACGTTGTGGAACATCCTGCATGATGAGCTTCAATTGAATTACCCGATGGAACTGATTTGGTAGGGTTTGCAGACGACGTTGCAGTAGTAGTGGCAGCCAGAAACGAGAATCTCCTAATGAATGTAGCAAATAGAGCAATACTACGAGTATCGAAGTGGATGAAAAATAGGCGCCTGAAACTACCCCCAGAAAAAACCGAAGTCGTGCTCCCGACAAAGCGTAGAAAAATAGGGGTACTCAATTTTGATATCGAAGGAACACAGATTGGACTGAGCAAGGCTGGCCTTTGCAGAGCATATAAAACAAAGTGTACTCAAGGCGGAGAAAACAACTACAGTGCTAGCAAACTTGATGCCCAATATCGGAGGTCCCAGAGCCTCAAAGAGACGAATTATGTCAAATGTAGGTCATTCACAGACTCTATACGGTGCCATCCTATTACACCACAATGCAAAATAAGAAACTAGTCCAGAAATTAACAGCGGTGCAGAGAAAAATGAACGTTCGAACGTGCAATTCATATAGAACGATATCCGCTGAGGCAGCATGCGTTATAGGAGGGGTTTCACCGATAGAAATTCAGGTGCTGGAGAGAATGGAACGCTACAGTGGTCTGGGAAGAAATGCAGCCAGGGAAAACCTCATGCGTAGGTGGCAACTGAAATGGGACAGTGGTCCCTATGGTAGATGGACGTACCAACTCATTCCAAACGTAGAGAGCTGGGTTAACCGACCCTTTGGAGAAGCTTACTTTGGACTACCTTACTCAAGCACTTTCTGGACACGGCTTCTTCGGTAAATATATGTACGACAGAGGAAGATCGGAGTCTGCATCCTGCACTCAGTGTCAGGTAGATGATGGTGCGGAGCACACGCTTTTTGCATACCCTAGATGGACAGAAATGCGTTCGGAATACCACCGAGAAACGGAAAAAATATTTAACATCGAACATATGATGGAAGATCTCAAAGGAGAAGATACCTCATGGAACTGTGCATACAAAGTAGTGAGGAAAATTATCGAGACAAAGGAGAGGAAAGTAGAAATTGAAGTATCTAGTTACTATTTTTTTTTTGTTTGTTTGTCCGATCTTTGGATATATCACGGGTCAAGTACTGAAGTAATGCGAGAGCGGTTCCCGGTACGTGGCACCGAGAATAGGGGGAGAGGTTTTAGTCGGTAAGAATCCGGCACAGCGTCTATGAAGATTTCACCTCCTCCTTCTAAAAAAAAAATTATTGATCTATATAAAATGCACGTAAAATAGGTTTCACAATAAAATAATCTTGTCCAGGCATCATATCAAATCCTATATAATGAAATCCCAGATGTCCATATGGTTTCCTTTATTGACTTGTAACTGTAACATCTGGGAAAACTTAAACATCCATAAATTTAACAGTCATAATTCACTTATCCAGGAACAAATACAAATCAAAACACAAGACCTAACATTCAATATACTACACATTCCTAGAAACAGTGAACATAGAGAAAATCTATCTCAAGGGATATTACCTGATGTAACCCAAATACGGGCAAATTTACCTACAGTACCTGCACTAAGGCAGGCAAATTCGTTTCTGTACATGGGGATCTCTTAAACTATAAGAGATAGAGTGTCGGTTAAATTATGGCAAAGTTGCGTATTTTAGAGACCTATTCAATGATATGAAGAAATCAAATATAGCTCTTTTGGTTCTGGAGATATACAGGAAAAACCAAAAAATCCCAAACCAAATTACTTTTTTGCCTATATCTTCTTTATGTACCTATTCATATTTTTTCCATTGCTCTGAGCGTTTTCTACAATGAACTTCGAACAAGAAAACCTTTTATGATTATCTGAAACATATCTACAACAATTATATATTATGTGTTTTGATGAGCAGAAAAAAAATGGTAGCAGTAATAACATCCCAAACGAACACTATAATTATCATGACAATTGAAATGAAGTAAGTAATTTATATACACAAAAAAATTAATTGTGCAACAAATGTTCGAATTGGAGTCCTTCCATTTCGAGACAGATAATGGGACAATAAGATGGTCTGCAAGATCACCAGATCTTACTATTTTGGACTATTTTCTATGGGGGACATTGAAGAATAGGATTTACGCTGGCAGAGAGATAGAAAATGTGGAAGACTCGAGATTGAGGTTTTGAATGATTTCGCAACAATGCAGCAAATAAGTGTATTAAGGGCAATAAATAATATGAAAAACCGAGTTTAAAAATGTCTCGAAATGGAAGGACTCCAATTCGAACATTTATTGCGCCAATAATTTATTTGGGTACCTATATAAATTACTTGATTTCAATTTTCATTACAATTATAGTATTCGTTTCGGAAGTTATTATTGATATCGTTTCTTTTTCTGCTTATTAAAACACATATAATATATTTTTGATGTAGATATGTTTCAAATGATCATAAAAGGTTTTTATTCGAAATTCATTGTAGAAAACGCTCAGAGCAATGGAAAAAATATTAATAATAATAATGTTTATTCAACAAGAAAACAAAAAGCAATTGAACATTACATAAATACCATGAAATAAACATAGGTACTCACAGAAGAAAGTGATTGCTTGTACGTGAGAGCAGCAGTAGGTACCTAAAAATAAAAAAAACTCTACGGTACATAGGAAGACGTGAAAGTTGCTATTATGTTTTTAATCAACTCAGTTAACCAATTTCCAGGGCCATAATTTAAAAGGGAATAATTCACACAATTATAATCGAATATTAACGAAACATCCCGAAATATAAAATTGAATTTAATTTCTCAGTGTGAAGTGAACGTCTACGATCCAAAAACTACAGCAAAAATACAGGTCCGTATTTAAAAATTCAAAGATGGGGGTGGCCCAACTCAGATGACATCCTATATAAAAGATTCATGGATATATTCTGAGAGTGTCAATAGCAAAATGTGGACAGATTTGCAATATGTCTGCGAATAAACAAGAAATAGGCAAAAAAATAATTTGGAATTTTTTTGTTTTTCCTGTATATCTCCAGAACCAAAAGAGCTATATTCGTTAGTAGAGGGGGAAAGGCGGGTCTGAACCTCCCCCCAAGGGTATG